GATAAATAAATAAATAAACCACCCATATATATATATATATGGGTGGTTGTCAAAATTAGGGTCCCTATTTGGGTCCTTATTATAACACGGCACCTATTATTTAGGGTACCCCAAAAGGGACCCTAATTTTGACAACTACCCTTATATACTTACTGTAAGACCTAGGTATCTACTATACAGGTTCATAAGAAAAACCCAAGCCTTAAACAGAAGGGGTTGCTCAAGCTGGAACTTTACAGGATCCCAGCCTCCCCCCCCAGAACACACAACGGGAAGTGGTAAGTGCATGAAAAGTGTACAGATACCCAAAACTGTACCTTTCGCTTCCATTGCAAATTCTTTCTTGGTGAACCGGTAACCGGTAACCCTTTGTCGTTAACCTTTTGCTTAATGGTTACCTTCCTTTAAAGTACCAATGGTTGAACAAAGCAACGAACTACAATCATAACGATGGGTAGGATCGAGGATAAATTCTTCTGGTGTCCAACACAAAGACTCCGGCACTTGGGCTAAAGGTCTTGGGACGCCCTTGAAACCAAGCACTCCCAAAAGCCAAGGGCCCCGAGCCCATCCCTTAAGCCCATCATCCGCAAAATGTAGTGACCCTGAGCCCCAACACCTTAAACCCTGAACCCAAACCATGTAGCGACCTCGCACTAATCTAGAGTCAGAAACTGTGTATGTACTATGTATTAGTACTCAAGCAAGGTACTACATTACCCCTACGCCCTAAGCCTTAAAGGCTCGAGACCCTACAAACTCTACAACCCTAAACCCTAAACCCTAAATCCCCTAAACCCTAAACCAGATCTGAGAGCTGGACGCCCCCTTCCAGCAGGCTATCTAAGCTCAAATGTACCAAGGAGGACCTGGGCTGGACGATTCGGCTTTTGGGCTTAGGGTTTAGGGTTTAGGGTTGTATTTTAGGGGCGCAGAGGAGCTTCACGATTAGGTATTTGGTCTTCGGATGGCAAGATTTCCAGTTTAGTATGTTGGAGAGTATATGATATGAATAAATACTACGTGCCTGGACCGTAGGGACAGGGTTTCGAGTACAAGCTCGAACTCGAATTGAACCCTAAACCCGAAGCCCCTAAAACTCAGAAACCTCTAATTCCTCAATAGCCTATAAGGCTTTACCCTACTTAAAACATCCTAAGACCAAGGATGTAGGCAGGTGTGTGCTGGTTGTGTCTCTTTTTTTCAGGTGTTGGGTTGGGAGATGTCAAAGTTCTAATTTTCATAGTTGACAGCTTTCGAAGTTTAGGGCTTTAGGCTTAAGGTTTAATCTGCGCAGCTTCTTTCAAGGGCTGAAGGTTCAGAGTGCCTACGTCTGCGCCTCGGACTACCTTGATACTTTGCCCATCAAGTCTTCCAGTACCTTTGAGACCAAGGCAGGTACTGCTTGAACGTTTGGGCACTCTGAGGCAGCAAATCCACTAGAGCAAACAAACAAAGCACAACAACATAGCCACATCCACAGCAGATCCCCGAACCTGAAACCTTACAAGCTCTAAACTTCTACTTAGGGGCTGAGTACCCTAGCCCAACAAAGGTTAACCTTTTCAATTATGGTAGTATCATATAAGCCCCAAAAGGTTACAGGTTACCTACTCAGCTACTAAGTCTAAACCAGACTTCTAGTCGTCGTCAACATAAGGCATTGATCTTCCGTCGGCGACTTTTGCAGCCAAACATCGGCAGCAGCAAACTTCTATTCGCAAGGCTTAGTCTACGCCACCTGCACGAAATCGCACAACCTTGTCTCCTATCCCTAAGAGTCGATGTTCTCATGCAGTACATACTTTGGCCGTCAAGGCGTCCCCTACACCCTAAACCTTAAACCCTAAGCCCTAAACCCGAAGCCCTAAACCCGAACCCCAAGCCCTAAACCCTAAACCCTAAACCCAAAGCCCCAAGCCCTACACCCCAAGCCCCAAGCTCTAAACCAGAGGTTTCTACTATTTAACACATGGATCCTTAGGGTCTTTTGCCATGCGCACACACACGAATACCAGAAGGAAGCTACCCCTTAAATGCTGGAGCCTTAAACGTAGATGATCAAGCCGTAAGCTTCACAGCATGAAAGCCTGAGAACTTAAGAAAATATAAAGAGCCCTTCAAACTCAGATATCAAAGCCATCACATTCTTCTTGAAGCCTTCGCCGCTTCGCCCGGAAGTCGGGAGACTGAAGACTAAAGACAGGGGCCTTACAGCCACTAGACTCGAACATTTGGGGTATGTCATGGTGCAATCATTTTATAGTGTAATCATGTATATTCTAGTATAACATATTATGGGGACTGTAGGGAAATATGTTTGCTCACTTCTCAGATTGGACCGCAAACGACACAGCGACAAACCTGAGCCCCTTGGAACCCTCGGCTGGGTTTCCCAGACTTCTTCTCCAACGTCTCCTTCTTGAAGGAGGTCACCTGTCAGAGTGGGAACAATTCTAAACCCTAAACCCTACACCATCGGTTTGGGCTCCTAGGGGATCTATGTCACACTGGGGCATTGAACATTAGAGGTCTAACTGATGAACTATGCAGCCCCCTGTATGAAACCCCATAATAAAGTAGGGATGTCCTTGTAGAATGCTACCATAAACCCTAAGCCCTAAACCCGTAAACGCCAAAACCCAAAGCTCTAAACCTTCAAAAAGCCTAAACCCTAAACCCTAAACCCCTAAACCCTAAACCCCCTTGCGCTTATGTCCTTTTTGGGGGGTCCCGACTATGGCCACATTGAGCCCTAGACCGGCGAGCTCCATCGATTCCTCAAACCTCAAGCCCGATAATGTGAAACTTAGGGTGCAGGGTTTAGGAGTTAGGGCGGTTTAGGGTTTAGGGCGGTGCGGTGTAGGGTTTAGGGTTTAGGGCGGTTTAGGGTTTAGGGTTTAGGGCGGTTTAGGGTCTAGGGTTTAGGGCGGTTTAGGGTTTGGCATTTAGGGCGGTTTGGGGTTTATAGGGTTTAGCCCTAAACTCTCAACCCTACACCCTCGCAGGCTTTCAGGTCCAAGAGGGTCTGAGTCTTAGCGCGTGGGCTACAACATCTAGGATTATAAGCAGGGTCATATAGGGGCCTTAATACTTAGAACAGGGTTCCAGTATACTATAATTATAAGAAGGAACACCCAACATAGTATAGGTAATCATTTAGACTTCTATGTTAATGCCCCGTTTAAGGAATACTGATAACCCCGAGTATCCCTGCTTTAACAAAGTCTCGGGATCCTTCAACCTCGAAGAAAGCCTTTCAACAAACTCTGCGACAAAGAACACTGCCAAAACACAAAAACAACTTATGACACCCTGGAAACCCTTCATACAACCCCTTAAAACCCTTATACCCGTAACCCCTAAACCCTAGACCCGAAACCCTAAACCCCTAAACCCTAAACACTAAACCCCTAAACCCCTAAAACCCTAAAACCCTAAACCCTAAAACCTAAACCCGCATACCCGATAAAGCTTCGTAGAACCGGCGAGCCTGGGCAAGCAGCTCCTTCGCATGCTCATCTTCAGTGAAGTGGCGTCGCACCTGCGAGGGGCTCCCGCCCTAAGGATTCACTAAGGCTTAGGGTTTAAGGTTTAGGGTTTAGGGTTTAAGGCTTAGGTCCAAAATACCGTTTTTGTAAAAACTTATAGGGATTCAAGTACCTACATGGAAACCCCCCTTAAGGCTGAAGTGTATACTCTGTTGTTACATGGAGATCTAGGCTTAGGGTGGATGTCGAGCCTTACTGATTCGTATCAGGCTTTTATCATATTTCTGAGGGTACCTCGCAAGTCCTCTTGCAGTGTCAATGGGCCGTAAACCCTAAACCCTAAACAAACCCTTAAACCCTAAACCCTAAACCCTAAACCCTAAACCCTTAAACCCTAAACCCTAAACCCGAAACTCTAAACCCTAAACCAATGGGTGCTAGAGACGGAAGACGCTTTCAGTGGCAGAGATCCGGGTCTTAGTGCGGGTCACGCGCATGGCTTGGGGTTTAGGGCTTAGGATTTATAGAGGTTTAGGGTTTAGGGTTTAGGGTTTAGGATTCAAGAGAGCACGCCATCACGATGAGTACTTCTGAGGGCGGCTAGCAGACGGACAAGCTGTGCGCAACGTTAAGACACACAAAGACTATGGATGTGCCATACTCTGCTTACTACGGTCCATGGGCCCAACTGGGCACTTCGTATTACTCGAGCCCTTCCACCTCAAACAGAACTCTTGGTGATAAACGCTTTCGCCCTGTGGCATCGACTTCTACATGCCCGAGCCCCGAAACCTGAGCCCACCCCAACGGTTTAGGGTTTAGGGTTACCCCAACCCAGACCCCCAAAAGGATCTAAAAAATAGATCCCCTAATTAGGGACGCTAACTACTAAAGGGTACTTTATAGGAACCCCCTTAGGGGATCCTTTTTTTTTGGATCCTTTTGGGGGTCTGGGAAACCCCGAAGTCCTCAGCTACCAAGGTCCCTGCTTCACCATGCAAGGGATATTCTTTAGGGTTTAGGGTTTAGGGTTTTGGGTTTAGGGTAGAAACCTTCTAAAGCCCGTCTGCCATACTTCCTTAGGGGTGGATGTCCTGAAGATCCCCACAGAACATACTTAAAGGATCATGGGACTTAGTAACTGAGGTTACAGACAAGGTAACTATACTTATAACCCCAGTTAGGGTACTTATAACCCTACTTACTAAGTCCCAAGATCCTTCAAGTACCGCATCCCAAAAAGGGCCGGAAGGTTAACGAAGGAAGCACCCAAAACTCGCAGAGACCCTGCAAGGGGACTTTAAACAAAGAGTCACCCACCTATTTGATCAGCGTAGGGGCCGTTCGAACCCCAAAGAGTCCTAGGTACCGTTATGGGGATACTTCCCGAAATCATAATAATAATTCCTAACATAGAAGCCCTAGATTCTACCATGTAGGTACTTAGGACCGTTTGGGATCAAGGGACTGCGGGATTCCTGGGATGTCGCCAAGATCTGAGGCAGGGACTGGCTCGAGGAGCGCGTTCACCTACTTTCGCACCCAGTGGGCGTCGGATAGTAGCAAAGGTTGAACCATGTGCTTATCATAGGGTTCAGGGTTCCAGGAGTTTAAGGGTTTGGGCGTGAGGGTTTAGGGTTGAGGGCTTAAGGAGAGGTGCTTGCAAGCTCAGAAGTAGGACTCGAGATGAAGGGTTTAGGGTCTAACGGCTAGCGAGCGAAACAGTTAAACTAGCGTATTGGGGTCTGAATATACATGCGTTGAGGACGCCCAATGACTTTAGACCCACAGGACCCCGTTTTTAATCCTTTACAGTCTGTGGTGGGGGTGCTGTACCACACCCTAAGCCCTAAACCCACTATAGTCATTGTGTTGTAGCGTGAGGGCGGTCGGTCTTAGGGCAGTGGCCGACTGGGTATACCCATTTAAGCTCTAAGCCCTAACCCCCCCCAATACAAGCCCTATGCCCAAAATCCCCAAATTCTAAACCTTGAACCCTAAAGCCCAAAATCATAAACCTTAAACCCCAAACCACCAACACTGGGCCTGAAGCCCTGAACCCCCAAAATCCTAAACCTCAACAATCCTGAGCTCTCACCCCTATAAGCCATAATGCTTCGGGACTTCAAGGTAGAAGCCATGCGGGCTCGATGTTGAAGCGTAACTCGGAACCGACAACCGGAAGACCAGCATGGAAACCCGTTTGTTCTCGGACTTTTCAAAGGGTCTCAAGTACCTACATGGGGGATACTAAACCATAACCCTAAACCCTAAACCCTAAACCCTAAACCCTAAACCCTAAACCCTAAACCCCTAAACCGTAACAGTACTTCCGATTATAGAAACGCTACATCCGCAATACAGGTACTTAGGATCCTTTGGGCTACATCGGGTGCCATGATGCTCTACACAAGACCTCATAGTGCAGTGGCTCAGGTGTGCTTGAGGTCTGCCCTAAATTACCCTAAACCCTAAACCCTAAACCCTAAACCCGACACCTGGCATTCTGACCTCAGACCTTGCAGAATTACGTGAGGATTTAGGTTCCAGGGAGCTTGGCCAAACATCCTGCCGGGAACCCTGAGATGCACGGGCTGCTAATTTGGCCGGTTAAACTGGTAGTACCTATAGTCTCCATTGTAGTTCCTTTTTTTGGTTGACCAGTTTTATGGTTAGGATCCTATAATGTAAATTTGGTTAACCAAAAAAGGAACTACAATGGAGACTATAGGTAGTAATAACTGTAACAAACAAAGCCAGGGGTTTATTAATCAGGTGTCTACACTACCAGGGTCTTAGCTTCACATCGACTGAGCTTCAGGACCTGTCTGCAGCTTCGACTTAGCAGGTAATGGCACTGCTCCGGGGTGGAGCTCTCTCTCTCTCTCTCTTTCTCTCCCTCTACATATTATATATATATATATAGTTATATGTAAATATATATATATATATATATATTGCTGTTGAAGGTTGAGCCTGATGGCACTTAGGATCACGATTTAGGGGGGGGTTTGGGGGCTTAGGATGTAGGGTCTGCAAGGACCTGCGAACTACCTCCTAGGCGTTTTTCTCAAGGCCAAACCAGGTCACCAAGACTGCCCCAAGCAGCCAAGCCCAAACCTAAACCCTGAACCCTAAACCCCTAAACCCCTAAACCCCTGAACCCCTAAACCCCGAAACCCCTAAACCCCTAAACCCCTAAACCCCTAAACCATAAACCCTAAACCCCAAAACGCTGCGATTTGGGACCCCTCGGCCTCATCCGTGAGGCTCTGTTTCAAGTCCTCCTCGGAAATATGCCCATCGAGGAACGCCCGCTTCAGGTCCTCTCGGGCTCTGGGTGGTGAGCTGTGGTTTAGTTTAGGGTTTTGGGGTTTGGGGGTTTGGGCTTACATAGGGCTATAAGGGTTTAGAGCCCATTCTTGTCTGTATGAAAGGTTTGTCAGGATTCTGAAACATGGGCTTCGCAACTCAATTATCTTAGGGCGCTGGGTCTCGGGTTTTGGGCAAGCGAAACGCAATACTCCTAGTTCTTGCCTTGAATCAGGCAAGAGACCACACAGAGACGTCAACGCAGCGTAAAACCACATACCCGTGATATGTGGGCAGACCGAACCCCGAGAAAACAACATACCACACGTATCTCTTTACCATGAGGTGAGGTCTTACACCATAGAGATCATTAAGCAGAGACCAAGCCGGAAAACCCTAAACCCTAAACCCTCAACCCCAAAACCCTAAACCCTAAACCCTAAACCCCTAAACCCCTAAACCCTAAACCCTAAAGCCTAAACGCTCACCACTGACTCTGGCCTACACCCTAAACCCTGAACCCTACACCTTCCTCGAAGTTTTCGTAGACCTTGTCGCTCCCCGCGACTTTGAAGACGTAGTCCTCCTGAGAGAAGAGGACGTACCTGGTGATTTGTTCTGACACTGATTTGTGCTAACACAGGGATTAGAGCTTAGGGTTTATATACGTTTTAGGGGTAAGGGTTTCTAGGGTTTAGGGTTTACATAGTACGGCGGGTTTAGTGTCGGGGGTTTGTAGGCTTCGAATTACTTCACATTAAAGGTTTAGGGTCCACGCTTCTCTGGTGTAGAGATTTGATCATCGTTCACCCTCTTGAAAGGTTCGGGGTTCAAAGTTTAGGCTGGATTTCGACATATTAGGTACTCTGGACCTACCGTGAACAAAGGAGTAATGCGAGCTATGGCGGCGCCCTGTCCTCATCGCTAGGACTCCAATAAACCTAGCCCAGGTCCCCTCCTCCCGATGGAGGCCACTGTTAGTGCGCTTGTGTTTCGGGTCTAGGATTTGGGCCCTTGCAGGACCTTGGCAAGCCAGTAACCAGACGTGTACGATGTCGATGCGACAAACGCCAATGCCGAACCAAATCCTACGCCGCCAAACACAAGACCGTGATGCTGAGGGCGGTCCCAGACGATTTCGGGTTCGTCATGCAGGGATCCGTTCTAAAAAACCCTGAATATTCTGAAAAGGATTTTGGCGGGGTATAACAAAGAGCACTAGTTCACTAGTGGTAATAATTTAGGTTTGCATGGCTTTCATATTGATGATGCTTGATGCTCATGAGTTTCCAGGAAAACAAATTAAATCTAGACCGCACACGATCCCTCAGGCGGGTCGCTGGATGTAATCCAAACATGGGTTCTTCAGATCGTCCTGGCGAGTCCGCAAAAGTCAGCTTGAGTCTCCCTCAATTACAGGCTGCCATAACATCCATATTGGGTTGATTTTATGATCCTCCGGAAAGAAAAAAGTTCACGGTAGGTTAACGAGGTGATAAAGCGATGGATGCAGAGCTCATCTCCTTCGTTCCGGTGAGACACTTGTCTAACTGTTTAACCCTAAAACGCATCAACCCTAATCCCTATTTGGGGGGTCGGGTTTGTTTATGATCACAAGCTGATGGGTTGAGGTTTTCAACCAATGAAGCCTCTCTGCCGACCCCAAAGACTCAAAGCTTTGACATGGCAGGCGAAAGTGCAGCCGGGACGGTCTGCCATGTAGGGGCCTTAATCGATCATCACCAATGCAACGAACTCTAGGGCACAAAACAGAGTTGTTATTCAGGCTTTGATAATACGGCCTAGTCACGCCGGGGTTTAAAAGTTTGGGGCTCAGAGAAGGTCCGGGTTTAGGTTTGCAGGCGCGCGAACAGTTTACCAGTAGGTTTACGAATTCTCAACCGGAACCTGTTGTTATGAATGCTATGTCAAAATAGCAGGCCTGGTTTCTGAACCTGTTTATATCCGCACGTTATCGGCCATCGATTGAAACCGAACCTTACTGCGATAGCCTCGCCACTAACCACAAGCATAAACACAAATTCACACACACACACACACAAAGACACAAACACTGACGCAGACATGGCCCTAGCCTTCGTGTGGGGGGGCACCTGAAAACGGCACCGGTAACATTTCCAGGCCCCAGAGGCAAATCACGGTTCGTGGCTGAGGCGGGCAACCCTGCTGCCGGTAACATTCTGTCTTCCCGACGTTTATGCCGTATGGAATCGTGCATGTAAAATGTGTGTGTGTGTATATGTATATATACACAGAGATGCACAGAGTATGGAGTTGAACTACTGGGAGGTGCCCTGCGATTCGCAACACTCCTGCAACGGCAGAATCTATGTGCTATCCGAAACCCAACAGCTGCTGCGATTCCCCCTCGCCACACCAGTCCAGCCACTTCAGGACTCTATGGCTGCAATGGTTAATAAAAGCTGTGCGCGGTCGTCGACGCTGGGGGCGAAGTTACACACCTGCTGCAACGTCTTCTGCTCGTTGCCCTTCTCCGGCTGAAGCTCTGACAACGGTGTCAGCACACCTTTGCCATAATCATCTGGGTGGTTGTCAAAATTCTGGTCCCAATTTGGGTCCGTTTTATAATACGGCACCTAATACTTAGGCTAATTCAAAAGGGACCCTAATTCTGACAACCACCCATCTGGCTTTCGGCCTGGTCCAGTGTGACATCGAAAAACTTTGCAGCTGGCCGGGCCACATGACTCCACGGCATCTTCAGGCTGCTCTGGAGCTTGATGCAGTCCTGGACGTCGGAGTAGAGCTTCGGAAGCAGCAAGAGGAACCTCAGGGGGGCTGCGGTGCCCCTCGTGCCCATGTTGAAGTCCTTGCAGCTCCAAGTCTTACACCACGTTCTCACGGGCATCAATGCCTTCGCACTCGCTTCCATGGCCTCAGGGGCATTTTCCAGCTCCTGCAGCTCCGATGGTCTCGCAGATACAAGGTGTGCTGAAGGATCGGCTCGGGCACCTGGAACACCCGCTTGTAATCCCGCCCTGATTGAGATGCCTTGTCTTCTCGCCGACCACGGTGCCGAGAGGGTCGTAAACCGAACAGAGCGAGCCGGTGCAGCAGAACTGGTTTCTCTCCACCCATGACAACCGCACGCATCGCAAAGCTTTGCTCTGGCCGGGTGCACGTGGAGTCACGGACGGCTTGGTCAAGCGGAGCTTCCTGGGGCCTTCGTCCGCCTACTTTGTGCTCTGCATAGTGCCCCGATATATCGTCATCAGCACGAACAGCAGACTAAACCCTCGTTGACGTCCTTCACCTGCGGCCCGAGAAGAACTATGGGGAACCCGGACTCACCAAGGGCCCAGTTCTGTAGTTTATGCTTCTTAATGTGGATTTTCGGACCCGGATGTGAAGCGCAGACTATCAAAGAAGGCTTTGGATAGGATTTCGGTGCAGGGCTACATGCTGAAACCACGACACTCCACAGGCAACACCGGTCCTGGGGTTTACATCCTACTTGTTCAGTAGCCTATGTTAACTTAAGGGTAACCTTCGGGAGTGTGTAGGGACCATAGTACTACTACCCCAAGAGGTTGTTAAAGGTTGCCTACACTACTGCTATACAGGACACTATGTTCAAGGTTGGGCTTAGTTGCTGAGTTCATAAGCCCTTCAGTTCTATAAGGGATCATATAATCCCAAAAAGTGTAAAGTGTAGTCACTCAGCTACTAAGTGGGACTAGAATCTACCAGACGTTGTGTTGACGACGTCCCCTTTGTCTGGCTGGCTTCGGGTTTAAAGTTTAGGGTTCGGGATCCCAAACCCTCGAACCAAACAGAAAGCCCAAGCACTAAAGCCCTAAGCCCTAAACCCTAAACCCTAAATCCTAAACCCTAAACCCTAAACCCTAAACCCTAAATCCTAAACCCTAAATTCTAAACCCTAAACCCTAAACCACAAAGCACTAAAACCTGATTCCAAACCTTGACCATGAACCTCACCCCCAAACCAATAGCTGCTAAAGCTTAACCCTAAACCCTAAACCCTAAATTATGAACTCCTGGTCCCGAAAACAACCCTAGCATGCTACACCTGAAAGGCTAGAAGCCTAAAGCCCTACACCATGCAAGCCCTGTGAAGTAAGCCCCTAAACGTATAGAATCCGTCATACAGGGGCTGCCTTAGGACTTCCGGCGGAACCCTAAACCCTAAACCCCTGAACCCTGAACCCTAAACCCTAAACCCTAAACCCTAAACCCCTAAACCCCTAAACCGTAAACCAGCAGTCCTCCACCAACGACATGCCCTCAGAACTCTTGGCCTCCGACCTCGTGTTGTCTAAGAGAGCATACCTCAACCCTACGAAACCCACACGTGTAGGGTTTACTTAGGGTTTAGGGTTTAGGGTGTAGGGCTCCTTTATACGGTTGCTTAGCTAGTCATTCAACGCAAAGGTTCTGGGGGCTGAAAGTAGGGCTTGAGGACTCGTCTTGCTACATGGATGTGCAGTGTGGAGTTCGTAGTGTTGAGATTTTGGACTATTTGAAAGGCTAGGGGAGCGACGACGTACTGCAATTGAGGTTCGTCTACTTTCAAGCCTTACTTTTGCACCCCAGACTGGCCCTAAGCCCTAAACTGGGACTCGGGATGTGAGGTCAAAGGTCTGACTGTGCGCGCAGCAAAGAGGCACTCGGTTGTACAATTTGGTATGCCAGACTCCAAAGGAAGTACAACTGGGATCCCAATCTGAAGCCCTGAATCAAAGGGCCGTACTTCACAGTATCCATGAACCAGCAGTGCAAGGGTTGAGATCAAAGCCAGGCGTGCTCAGGAAGGACATAACCCCCACACTCTGAACATCTCCATACACCTTCAAGCCAACACGGCCGGCCCCTACAAATCTTGAAAGCCTGCCAAGTCTTACGCCGGGAACTTTTAACACCCATACCTGCGACCTCCAAGCCTGTAGTGCTATATGCCCCCAAAACCTGTTCTGACCAATAAGGCCCCTATATTGTACAATTGAATCCCCAAACTTACTTCCAGACTCATGATACTTAGTGTAAACTGCGCATAAGAAGCTTCTAGCACCCTTGCCAAGACCGTCCTCCAAGTACAGCACAACCCGCCCCTCAAGTCTAAACCCCAAACCCCACACCCCAAACCCTAAACCCGAAAGCCCAAACTCTAAACCACAAACCCTAAGCCGTCTCAAGGCGTCCACGACTCCATGTCCTCTGGTGCTGCAGGACCTCTGCTTTGGGAATCTTGGGAGAGTCTCATGGCTGGAAGGCTTCCTGGGTTGCGGTTTAGGGCTTAGGGTGTGGGGTTTGGGCCCGGCCTAGGGTTTGGGGTTTGGGATTTGGGGTTTAGGGTTTAGGGCCTAGGGTTTGGGGTTTGAGGTTCGGGCTGCAGAATGGCATAAAAACTAGTCTTATAGGGGTCTTTTGAGAGTTCTACGGAGCTTAAGAACTCGACTTCGGTAAAGGCTTGGGGGATCGAGGGGGTAAGGTCTAAAGAATAGTGTTTAGGGTTTAGGGCTGGGTTTAGGGTTTAGGGTCTTGGGTTTAGGGCTTAGGGTTTCGAGCGTTTGCAGGGTCTGAAGGGTGCGTGCGTTTTTGAATGTTTGGCTTTGGAGGGGTCTACCAAAAGGGGTTTTAAGGTATCCTTCCAGGCTTCATAAGGGCGTTATACCTACTATGGATTCTACATAGTGGGGGGGGCCTTGGCCTCCCGATGCCTCCTTGCCTGCGGAGCTTTGAGGCTTAAGGCTCGGGTTTTCAATCTGGGGTTAGTGCTTCAGCCCGCGACCTACAAACTTGATGTCCCCAAAAGCCCTTACTCCAGCCCCTCAACGCAAGCCTAAACCCCGAAGAGCCCTGCCCTAAACCCTAAACCCTAAACCCTAAACCCCTAAACCCTAAACCCCTAAACCCTAAACCTCTAAACCCCTAACCCCTAAACCCTAAACCTGAAACCCTAAACCCCAAAAGCCCTGCCCTTTTTGGGGCGGCGCTACCGCACATAACTTCCGAGTTCTGGCCCGGGCGCAGTAAGCACCAGAGATCTTCCGGACAACATCCTGTTGAGGAGTTTAGGGCTGCGTTTAGGGTTTAGGGTTT